ATAAAGGGATACTCATCTGGCTGAGCCCAGGGATGGCCGAACCGAACCCAGAAAGGATGAATCATGAGTGTTTGGAGCGGCAAGGATAAGGTCCTTTAGAATGTTCAGTCGCCGAACTAAAGATGGATGTCCCAGGCCGGCCTTTGTGCTCTCCTCACCAGAAATACAATTCTGGCCGTTCGCCAAACCTTCGCGCCCGTCCCCAACACCCTCCCATCAATACAAATATAACCAACACACCACCCCTACCACCCAATCCCAACAGAGACAAGAGACAAACGATGTAATAATAATAATAATCATCTCATCGAGTTCCCTAATTCATTCATCAATCAATGATCTGTCATTAAAGACAGACCTTTCACAACCTGTCAGAACGGATGTTTCAACTAATACCAAAATTCTAAATATAAACACAAGATTCAATTCAAATCACGCATTTCACTTGGTTTGATACTTTCTGTATTCAATTTAAAGAAACAATAATTATTTTTCAACTTTTAGTAATGTCTGAAATATCACTCAGTAATCTTCATAATAATCAAAACAAACTAAGTTTTATAGATACTCGATAATTATAAAACAATCTTAAGAATTTGTACGTTAATTGATCTATTTCGTCAATCGATTGCAGTAAAAAATTGCGAAAGTAAACTGCGCTCCTCTGGTTTCAAATTGAAGAGCATCAAGTGTCACGAAACACGTTTGTAGCGATCTTTGACAGACACGAGAACGATTGAATTGTGTTGTAAACTGACTTCAAAATCTAACTGTACTTTATGCGAACTATGCACCAATTTAAAACATCATTTGTACTATTATTTATATTATAAAAAATAGGATCACGAACAGAGGGGTTGTTTTTGCGCCGCCGTTGATTTTGTTTTCTGCTTTTATGTAAAAAAAAAGCTAGGGGAAGAAAAAGAAACAGAGAAAAGTTGATTTGTGTGTATGTATGCATTTCATTTCTTTTTCCCAACTCGGAGAATGCGAATTCGTATTTGTGATCTCAGAATGTAGGAGTCAATGGTCTCCGTGGTTTGGCTTCCACACAACACATTTGTACACATCCCGAACCCAGTAAGAATCGTAATGTTCCCGGGATAGGAAAAAAATAAAACAGCGTTAGATTGATTGTTAACTAAAACATTTCATAAATTAGATATGAGTATAGTTAAAATGTCATAACAATAGTTAATATTGCCGTTGGAATAATGAGAAACAAAACTTTGGAAACAAAACAAAAATCAACCAAATTACACATTATAATTGGAACAAAGTCAAAGCTAAAGAATTTAATTAGGTACAATCGCATATGCATAATTCAAAATAATTGGATAAAATCGTCCAATTATTTTGATCCTTCGATGTTTACAGTTCTCCATAAAATATTAGAGATAATAAATAAAAATAATTTACATAATATTTGATAATATAATTCGAAAATGCAACTAGTGAGAGCGCAACAAAAAAAAAAAAAAATAATTATGAGATCAAAAAACATTTTAAAATTCTAGCATTAAAATAAATATTTCTATCAAATATTGGAGTTATCACAGCAGGATTAAACTGTTTTGAGTTTATTAATACTGTTTCACTGTTTAAAATTTTAATTCATTCGTTCAATTCGTTTTAATTCATTTAGTGCGTGCTTAACAAACCCTTTCATTTCAATTGGGAATGGAAGCGTCACTGCGGATGTGATGGTTATCCGGACTTGCAGACACCTACAAAAATCAACCGACCCCATCATAATTGCATTACACTAAAACATTTCTGGATATGGATCCATGAAATTCGACATGATGGATGATTTCTTTCGCTGCGAATTAATATTTTGCGATCGCGGCTTGACGCGTCGCAAATAATTGAGCAGCCGTCGTCGGGTAGGAAACACCATCAAACATTCAGTTCACCGGTCACCTGGTCGAACTGTCGTGTGGTGTCATAACCAATAGAAACAATCAGACAACTGATTATCGGTTCACTGAATGTTTCAGGGAATCCCCGGGAGGAATCTGGGCCAAATGCATTTTTAATGGTCGCATCCGACGCCGCCGCAACTACCGCCGCCTTCGCGAATTTTCCGCTGCCACTCAACGTCGTCCCTCGTGTGTTCCGTGGAGCGGCTTCGGTTTTTTTCTTTTATTATTCCAACCACCTCCCGAAACCCTCGAACTGTGCGGGCTGGGTGAATGGGGGGCGGCGCATTTCCAAATTGCCGTGTTTGCATTGTGCGAGTTGTTTGCCCTTCGGACCGCATCGGCGCTAAAGCCCATTACGTTCACCCACCCATTCCACGATCTAAATTATAAGATTATAACTGATGAAATCTCCCCGAAAGTAAACTTACATGTTTTTTTCTGTTCTTTACCAAATTTATTAAGTAGAATAGTTTCTATTTCGATAATTAAAAATGTAAGTTAATAAATTAGATATGCACATCAGAATCGCAGTTCTTATCACCTATTTAAAGCTAACTATTGCTATAAAAGTCTCTTGCGGTAGAAGGTTTGAGTTTTTCTGAAAAGCTGTTTTGAAATGAATGTATCATAAATTGCACTGAGCGTAAATCACTTGAGTAAATTTGGTTAAGTACGTGCTTTTTGTTGTTGCTGTAATGTAACAGGACACCCACATCAAACGTTGTTCGTGGTGCTTTTCGGTTTTGCAACAGAGAGAGCGAAAGTGAGCAACAAGGAAAGAGTAATACAGAGTAAGAGAGGGATAGATGTATAGAGGCGCAGGGTGGTCGAGCGATTTATTCATGTATTCATATGAATTCATCGGAGACAATAAGGCATTAGCATGCATGGACCGAGATGGATTATTAGCCGTGGCCGTAAAAGAGTGTGAATCCGGCAACGTTAAGCCGATGCATATTTCTGCTTGTAGTGGCTGTGGAGGACCCCGAAGCCAAAGCAAAAGAGAAGATCGGATTCCGATCGGTGGAAGAAGGACGATGAGGAATAAGGAGTCTGCAAGGATGGAGTGACTTTTTGTATGGTGGCTGGTCGTACCGCATGCCACCGAGCGAGAAAAACGAGAACCAAGCCAGAAATGCGTCTATACATATGCACACTCGGCGACTACAAATTAATTATATTAAACGCCAGCGTCAGCTCTCCGGCAAAGGAGGCGAATAATAAAAGGATATCCGAAAAAGGCCGAAACTAAAGAAGCGGATTGAAGCGAACGAAACGACGAGGAAAAATTCACAAACAAAAAGAAGCTACTCGACACCAACGACGAGAGACGTAATAGAACTTTTATGGTAATCACAATTAGGGGTCCCTAGTCCATTAACTGTTAATTAATCCCAAACTCGATAATTAATTACTTTTTCCTCTTTTATTTTGTTTTTCTTCCTATTAACGAATTTAGTTATGTGCGGCAAAACTTGATGTTACTTAGAAATATCATCAGGCACATGGGAAATAAATATAATATCAAATTTATTAGATCAACTAGATATTCGCATTTATTAATACCGTATCAATTGCTATACAGCTCTTATATATTGTATTATGGCAATTATGCAAATTTTCCAATTTACAAAAATATTAAATTTAAATTACTTTGTAATTTATTAATTACTCGAATGTAACTAAAATCATCATCAATCAATCATCAGATTTAATATAAAAAAAATATATTTATTATTTCCATATATGTTGTCTTGTTATTTTATTTTATATGTATATTTATTGATAAATATCGATCAAACATCAATTGAGAGTGCAAACATTTCACATCGAATTGAACAAACCGCATCTCTTAAATTGTTGGCCTGATAATGTGCCCGAGATGTACGATAAGATGTTTATTTACATTTCGGTTGGCAATATATAATTTCACAATTCGCTCTGCTCTTAGTAAACAACGTTTTTTTTTTTAAATTTATTGAATATCTCCGAGTAGCTGGAAAACTGTTTAAAATTTCACGATGATAACTTTGACATGCGTCAAGACGATGGTTAAGATCCGAATGGTGCTCCATTCGCACAACGAATTCAATTTACTATTTTGATGAGGGTCCGTGTCCTGTGTTCTGCAGGGAGGGTGTCGCGTTGGGCGTAATAAATAAAATTTTGGATCGATATAGTTTTATGTGTACCGCAGGTTGGGAAGGGGGGAATGGCTGCGACGGTGCAGGGGTGTTAAAAGGGGGATGACGCTTGGAAAGCAGCTCTAGTGGGTGGGTCGAGGATGACTATAATAATAATATAGTGGCTGATGAAAAGTTTATAAGGTTGGCGGTCTGGTGGCGACAGTTATGGCATCATCCACGATGAGGCTTTAGTACATAAATGAAAGGGTAGGTGGTGGAAAGAGAGAACGAAAATTATTACTCATATCCAAACTAAAGAAAATAACAGTATGGTGACAAGGTAAATATGGTGAGTTAGATAACAGTGTCATTCAAAATAATTCAAAAGGATGAATGACACTGATCAGATACATAAGGGTTTCTGTCATTGGGTAATCAATTTGTTTAAGAAATATAATTAACTTTTTTTAATATTATTTATTATTCCCTAAAATAACCATAATGATTTATGCGTTTGTTAATTGTTTATAGTTTTCTCTTAATTTTCAAAAATTAAATATGGGTAGATAATATAGAAAACTCACTTTCTACATTTTCTGAAACTCATTGCAATTTTTACTATTGCTGTAGTTTGATGTTAGAACCTATAATATTTTGGAAAAAGTATACTTACATATATAGTAACATTGTTAAATATATCAAAAGTGCATAAATAAGGTAAATGTGTTTTTTTGTTGAATGAAATAAAAGAATGGCAGTTTTCATGTTTAAAAGAGTGTAAAAATGTGTTTATTAAATAATAATAAAAATTAATTAATAAATAAATAATAAAATTATTTGGTTTAAAGTATATACAAAGTAACAGAATAAACAGCGATGAAGTGAAGATGTGTTAATAGTAGTAATGGGAGATGGCGTCATGCAAGAAGTGTTCAATATGGGAACTCACGTTTTTGCTTTCGAACTTGAGGGCGTCCTCATCGGTGCACCCAAGGCTTCGCATGTATTTCAAGTAGGTGGTGGTGATGGGCAGGGAATAGTCAATCTCGGTGGCCATGAAACCCTCCCGCCGCCGCCGGATGAGTTCCGACTGCTCGCGTTCGATGCTCTCGACGGGAGACCAAAGCTTGGGGGTGGTCGGCGTGGACGTGGTGCAGGTTTGATAAAGATGTCGCTTCTTTGGCGGCGTTCTGGGAGAGTCTCTGGACGTTAAGTTGCATACGTCCAAAGGATTCGTGGACCTCTGGGGACTTCGCGGATGCGTTTCGATTTTAGAGTAATTCTGGATAGTGTCCTCGTTTTTAAGGTGGTGGAGATGTGGTTGCGACAGGTCCAGGGTCAGAGGAGACAGATGATGATGCGGATGCGACGTTGGCGGCGGAGGGGTGTTGCTTTTCGTCGGGGGTGGAGTTTTACTTTTTGTGGAATTGCCCAGATCCAAGTAGGTCGGCTGTATTTGCGGGTGGTATTCTGAGGGACTCGTCGGGTGGACGTGCTGCACCGGAAGCAGAGGCGTTGCGGCCGTGGGCGTCGTGGTCGTCGCTGCAACCGTCCCCAGCATCAACGGGGGTAGCGTGGGGCTCGGACTGGGTGTTGGCAGTACCGAGATCGGTGATGGGGACCGGGGATGCTTCTGACACTCCGTGCAGCCCAAGAGGAAGCGAGTGACGGCTTCCCGAGGCAGGAACGCGTACGTCTCCGTTATCTGGAATGAAAACAACAATTGTTAAACATGCGACTGGCATTTCAATAAACGTTTTTATGTGTTATGTAAATCGAGGACCATTCGTGTTCTCCCACTATCCTCCTCTATCTTTCTCTCCCTTTTACACGCAGCGCCGCATCCTTGGAGTTTTGTAGTCGCAACAGCCTCAGGCAGGATGCGACGAACAACGAGTACCCCACTATCCTTCTCCAACCATTTTAACAGATACACATACTCTTTGTTCATCACACTTGCATGCAAGATGAAAAAAGTTTTGTGTTGCCAACACAAATGTACGGCCCGAGCTGCCAACCTTATCATTACAGCATGGACGCCCCTGGGTACTTATTACACGCCTACTCATCTCTCCTGACCCACAACTACTTTCACGGTACACCTCAGAAGCTACCCACACATTTCACCCGAACATTAATCCGAGTCGTAAACTTCCAACAATTAATTAATTAATCTGCGACAATAGATGCAACGGATCTGAATTTATCTATTATTATTCTTTGAAATATTTTCTAGAGTATACAAAGAAATCAAATTCCAGTAAAAGAAGAAGAATCAAAAGTTAAAGTAATGTAAATCAAATAAAACCACAACTCATTTAATAAGTATGTGAAAAGGGTGGGAGGTTTTAGTTACGATCTTCCTCCCTTAAACCAAATACACTGATGTTTCCGACCCAATATCCGTATTTCCATATCGCCCAGACTACAAACGTTGAAATATTGACAATCAACAGGTGCGACATCCGCCGAATATCAAGCGAAACGCAGTCGGCCAGATACAATGCAGCAACCCTCTCCCTTCCGCGGCCCAATCTCATTCCAAACTCTACAACCACACCCCCGCCCCGCCGAATTGCATTGTATCAATTTAACGAAACACTCGAATATCAAAAAAAAAAAAACGCTATTGTTATTTTATTCGTTACACATGAAACTGCAGAAATGTGATTGCACTTCATATCAAAAATCACTTAATCAATCAAACAACAGAATTACAATAATCATTTTGACATCCACTGAATAATCTCGATATCAATCGAATGCTTATTTAATTTAAAAACAAAACAATAGCATTCAACGTCAGTATGAGATTATTAATCATAAAAATTGAAAGCAAAAAAAAATCTGTCTGTGATTTTGTATATAAATTATATCAAAATTATATTTTATTATTATATTTGCAATGAATAAAGCTTAGCAATATTTGTCATTGAACAACTATTAACATAATAGATACAATATTTTCTTGCAACGAATACATGTGATAAAAAAAATGTGAAGGGAACGAGAAAATATATATAAAGTCGTCGAAGGATGGGTTTCGAATGAAAATGGTATAAAAGAAGAAAAAAAATAACAACTCACCGTTCGATAAGTCCGTTTTTGTCCCGCGTGCTTTCCCGGACGACCCTCCAATTCGACGTGGACGTTGTAGATGATATCAAAGAAGTTTTCGACGATCGCCACTTTCCTGTATACCGGTTCCCCGCTGGAGTTCTGCGGACAAAATAAACAATGTAGGTAGAGAGGACGCATTGATAACGAATATCGAGGGAGTCTCCGAAAAAAGACGGAGACTGCGATGAAAGAAAGGCGACCAGAAGCTGATAACAGTTTTATTATCCCGGGGTATGGGGGAAGTACTGACTGGGAGATCGAGGAGCGGCGAGCTTGTGACGGCAGAAGAAAAAAAGTTAATAAACTTTCGTCTTGTCTGTTTGGAGCTTTGCCATCTGAGGACGGGAGCCCTCGCTCGTTCACTCTCCTCCTTTCTCATCTTTTTATTTACTCTTCTTGTTTTCGTTTTTCACTGCTTCTTGAAAAACTCCGAACATTATATATATTTTTTTGCCCTGTCCAAAGAATAAAAAACAGAAACATGAGAAACCTCATAAACAATATGAGTATTTGACGTGTGATTTGTATAGACACCTGGAAATACAGTTTACTCCTTTTTGTGGATGCTCCTAATGAATTATATATTTTAAATACGTGACAATTACTGTTGCGATACATTCAAATTCAATTGTTTGAGAAATCGTGAACAAATGACAATGGTATGTGTAAACAGGGGTGAGTGGGTGTGGGGTGGCGTGGCGTGACGATATGCAAACAAGCGGCGATCCAGATTTTGCGGAGGGATTATATGGCGAGGCAAAGAGGAGTGGGTCGGTTATTTATTGACCCGAAATGGGCGAGGGTGTCCGTTGGGGCCGGTTTTGGGGCGAAAAGAAAAGTTGCGGCCACTGATTCGGAATGGTGAGCCGGACTAGGGATGCGACCGACCACCCAACCGCCCCCAACGCTCTACACTGTCGGGGGTTTTGGGACGAGAGTTCCGAGGGATGATTCGGCACAACTCCGAGGGTTGTATAAAGCCCTCCCGGGTGGCGGTGGCGGCGACGAAGGCGGAGGCGGTGGTGTTAGGGAGGTTCAGATGGAAAGAGAGTGAGCAAGAGAGAGAGAGAGTTGGGAAAACCCTTACGGGCTGGACGACGGTGGTATGGGTTTTCGGATCCGACCTTTCCGTTTTCCACAAAGGAAAAATAGCTCCCTCTAGCGCGAGGGTTTCTATGGTTTTGCGTTGATAAAGCTCGCGCAAAGGCGCTATTATGTACAGGTGCACATTAGAAAAGGGAGGAAAGAAGCAAAAGCAAAAAAGAAAAAATTGGAGCAAACGAACGAACGAGCGAGAAAGAGAAGACAAAAATAAAACACAAACACACATAATGAAAATGATGATTACATAATGCCGTTCGCACACGCATGCTTAGCATTTTGCATATCCCTAAAATGATGGGAGGTCGCGCTTCGTAAATGGAAGGGTGACGGGGGTCTTGAAACTTATGCACCTACACCCCCTCACCAGCCATGCCTTAATTAAAGTGCAGGTGAGTAAATTAAATTCTGCACTTTCTTTTGATGCTCGTCTGTGCGGGGGACGAGAAAGCGCCATCCCCTTCAGCCCTCGCCTTTTTTTTTCTGGAAGTATGTAAGCGAATCCCCTTTAATAAGAAGGACCCTAGCGAAATAAGAAACGCGGAGTAAGGGGGAAGGTCGTAATAAAGCTCAGACCTACTTATCGAGCTTTCGCCTCAAATAATTATGACTCCACTTCAGCGAATTAGGAGGACTCATTCGAATCGCACATACGACTCACAAATATCGCAGTTAAATAATTATTTTTACAACCGAGTTCCGTACGTGTTTTTTTTATTTTATTCCCCCCATTTCCTCCACCTTGTTTCGCTGCAGGATTATTTTTTTCATCCTGCAGGCACCGCTGCGGAGCTTCGGCTTTTATTTTTCCTGTTCGTTTCTCTTTTTTCGCGTGCATCGTTGGAAACCCACGGGCGAACTTCATCCTCCTCCTAGTTGACGTCGTCCTTTTTGTTTTGTTTTCTACAGACCCCACACCCCCAACCCCCCTTTTATTTTATTTCCCTCCTTTCTCCTAACACCCCCTCGATCTCATTCTCTTCTTCTTTTTGCGAACTGCAGTAGAATACTCGTTTTTTTTTTGTTTGTTTCGTTCTGTGGGGGAAAGAAATGAAAAGCAGTTTTGTAGACAAGAGAAGAGGATCGTCTTATCACTGAAACTTAATCGTGTCGTTCGCGTGTTTAAATTAGGAGTTGCCTTTCTAATTTCCTTACATGGGTGGTTATTCCTTTTAAGCGCCGCGGACTCCTCCGAGGGAGTGACAAAGATTGACTACTGGTAGATTAGTGGCAAGAGATAATGAAATAAGCTTTCAAGGAACGAAAACAAAGAAAAAAGGACAACGCAGAGGCACGGGAACCGGTCCTTGGAAGAGCCATTACTCATTACTCGGAGCGCCCCCTTTCGGACGTATCTATCGCATTCTAATTTCCCATTATACGCTACGCACAAAGGCACTTATCTTTGCGGCTGCACATACACACACACATCCACTCTTCGATCTGGAATCTGGATGGACAGGCGAATCTGACACACCTCGTACAACTTATTTCTGTCTGGCAGAATATATATATATATATATAATATATCTATATACATAAATATATATATTTATTTATTATATATTGATAGACTAGCAATTATAAATGTATATATATATATATATATATATATCTATATTATATATATACATATAAGGAGTGAAAGACGAAGGGGAGCCTCGGGCTTAAATATATATATTTATATATATATATAATATATATAAGAACCAAGGGTTCGGTGTCCGGTCGATGTCCAGCTAGTAACAAATTTTAAAGAGGAGAGAGGCAATGTTTTATATAGGCACGGCCTCTATGAGAGTGGTGGAGGAGACGAAATATACAGAGAGCAACGGAGGAGGATCAACATGTGGTTATTTGTTTTTTTAAATAACCAATATCAACAGGTCTCCACCGGCCTGTCTACGGGTTCTATCTCTCTCTCCCTCTCTCTTTGCCTCGATTTAGTGCTGAAATAAAATATATTGGGCTAAATAAGAAATTGCGCAAGTGCGCGAGGATTGCGCCGCCTCCGCACACAGGGCGCAACCTGCTTCGCCACCTAGCTACTCCTGCAGTGCGATAGCTGAAGCTCGTACTAGAAAATCCTGTGCAAAACTGTTTTCGTAGTCTGCTTACTAGCAGCCTATACTAGGTGGCGCCACATAATATAGATCAAATATTTAAATGTTGACAATTTGAAAAAATTTCAAATTACTTCACTTAAGATCGCTAATAATAACTTATTAATTAATAACTTATAAGTTACAAACGCATTAAATTATGGTTTTGATAATGTATTTGTTTGAAAAACAAACAAAAATCTATAAATACTTTATTATACACTCCGTCCTCTTTTTATGCGGTTTTTTTAAATAACTATTTTAGGCCATTTTGACACGTTTGGACACAAATTGGCAAACCATTTCATAGAAAAAGATGATAATTCTGAACTTGAATTTTCAACGCGAGCTTCAGAATTGTATTTCTGGATATCAGGAATTGTACAAAAAAAAATAGCAAAGCCATCGCAAAGTTTAATCACTGATTATATTGTCAAAGGGAAAAAATCAACATGCGAAGTTGAGACTAATTTTACTTGTGAAGAATCATTATCTTCAGGACATAGATCTGATATGCTGACTATCTCTTCTAGTGATGAAAGTGATTTCGAACCAGTTCGCAAATTATGCCGAACACTCTCATATAGCGACGATAATTCTAAAGAAAAAAATGTGAAGAAATATTAACTTTCATAAAAATTTTCTGTATTTTTTTTTTGGGAAAATTTTTCCGTATACATTTAGAAGGAATATGTTAAGATTATATTTTTCTGAAATTTAATAAACCCTTTTTTATGCGATTTTCGGTATATTGTAACTCATTGATTTAGTTTTATGCGGTTTAAAAAAAATTATGGAACATATCCTTTATTTTTATACGTGTGTCTAATCCTTTTTTGTGCGATTTATTTTTATGCGTTTTCCTGTGGAACGTATCTACCGCATAAAAAGAGAACCAAGTGTATCTATAAATTACTTTATAAAATACCCTGAACTTATTATATATTTTTATAATATCCGATCATTTTTGTATAAAAATACATAATTCGAATTAAGGCAACTCATTTTGTTGGAGTTAATAGTAAGTCTTTAAAATATTGCATTTAGTAAAATTTAACTTGTTCCATTTATTTTTTGTCATTTTTTATGTTGTATACACTTACGAAGGGCGCTCACGCAAGAAGTTTATTTAAAATGTGTTAAATTTGTAAATCAGATAATTTAATTAAATCGTATAGAAAGTTAACTCTATAAATAAAATAAAACTCTACTGGATCGATTCTTACATTTTTGTCCTTTAGTGATGTCCCCGTTTCCGGTTCTTACACAAAGATCGGGTATCGTTGGCCTTTAGATTAACACTCGCAACGGACGAAAGATCCGGTTGCTGAGAAGTCGGCTGCGGGCGAAAGGACACCTGTTGAGTGCGCGCACATCACAACCGCCGTCCCCTCAGCACTTCCGCCACCCCCATTCAAACCAGCATCACGCTTCCGGTTTTACGGCGGATACAATGTACATTTATACACGCTTAGGTTTAGATAAAGTCTGTGATCGCAAATCTGGACCTCGAGATTGCTCTACATGACGAGACCCAACCAACCCATTAAGATCCGGAAACCCCTTCCAAAAATCATCCGTTAGATCTTACCAACATTTTTTGGCATAACTCATTAGTTCGAAAACGAAGTTTCTTAATTTGCGCGAAAATCGCTGCGGGCGTGCATAAATTTGCATCTATAAAACCTTCCTTTCCAGTTCGACATGCCGCATCACATGCGAATACATTTTTGACTTGATTTCGCTCGGAACACGAACGCAACTTTGTCCTCTGGGAGTATAAGAAAAAAATATAAGTTAAAAACGAGTGGGATAATAAAAAAAGGATAAACAAAAGCTGGTGCCACATCGAATTACTGCCGATCTGATTAAAGTTTTGGCGCTCGAATCGCGGTA